ATATGAGTAAAACCATCACTTTGAAAGGCAGTAAAAACCGTCCATACATGGCCATCCAAAAGCTTTTCTTTTACTTTTCATTAGACCTCTTGAACATTTCGTTCAAACATTGAAAATCCATCGAAAGTCGGTGGTTAACTGCCTCTAAGATACTATGTTTTTGGTTCGTTGTGGACTGCAGCGTTCCGTCAAACATTTTAAAAACGTGTTGGCTAGCAGGAAAGACGGTTACCAAAGAAGGCGAATATACAAGGAGACGAAACGGAATGCGATGCTTAACAGATGTTATTTTTCAGCAACAATGAATACCGATAAAAACTGCACATAATTTTATGAAAATTCTTGCTCAGAAGTCTCAAATAAACAACCACTTTTCTTGCTCTTCTTTCCGATAGATATTCTGCAAATATAAAAAAAATAGTGAGTAATCTAATGAGAAATTCGACTTATTACACGCGTTAATTTCGTTGTTTAAAGAGAAGAGCTTGAGACGCAAAATCAAGGAAGTATCAGCGGCCCGACGGTTCAATAAGACTGATTCCAAATAAGCGTCAAAAGATTTACAAACAGTTTTAAGGTTTTTTCTCATTAATAGACAGCAGATCTGCAACATTCTGCCAAAATGAAGTGACTGCGCACATGACAGAACGCATGTTTTTTGCGAACAACTTGCGAACAACGGGTTCAGTTGTTTCTGACCCGCAGATGACCCCGACCAATCAATGCAAATTAAAAGCACCGAATGGTGCTGTTGTATGGCTTTACCTTTATCTCTTTATAGAGAGACTGTTCCATATCAGTTTGCAAACTTTTTTCATTTAAAATCTTGGAATTTTTTTTTAGCTTTGCCGTCGGCGAAGATTCGGTTTGGATTTAAACAGCATGACGAAAAAATTGAAACTGTGGATTTTCTACCCAGTTACCGCCCTTGAAAGTTACAAAGTCTGCCAGGTTGCGCCTATTTTCCTAAACTGGTAATTCAAATCAAGCTCATTTGAAAATTTTTAATCCTTTGAATTTTTTATTTCCTCTTTTTAAAATATTTCAAAACTGATAGTTTTGTTAAACAACTGTTTATGTACAACTGAAGAAAAGAGTTAAAAATAATTTTGAAAGAAAAATATCACTTTAAAGTCGAAGAGAAGCATTTTGTGCGGAATTTTTTGCTTTACAACATTCCACAAATTAGTGGCACCATTTTCCCAGAGTTGAGATTTACAAGCTGGGAAGAGAGCTAGGAGTGACAAAAACCTTCCGTTGTTATAGCAATCCCAGGCACATTATACTGGCGAAACAGCTGCCGGCTGTTTCTGAAAGCCAGGGGGAGCCTTTATGAAAATCTGATTTTTTAATCGTTGGCAATTTTTTTCAAAAGGTTATTGTAGATGTACTGGCAAATTATTACTGTTTAAAGCTGTGGAGATTCTTCTTTGTACTAACAACCTCTGCTTTCTACGTGTACCGCCGTCTGAAGGGATTGAAGGGTAGCATTTGGCTCGTAGAAACAAACATACCACGATAATGTCAATTTTGCCACAAAAGTGAAGAATAGTAAATTCCTAGGAAAGATCTTTGCCATACTGTAATTCTCTTCAATTATTCTGTCTGCCAGAAAATTTACGAAGTAAGGGATGTTAGCAGCTCGTTACTCCTTTACGCAATAATATTTTGCCAATATTTTTATAAAAAAAACTTAAAGACTTTCAATCCTTTGAATTTTTCATTTCTTCCTTTTTTCAAAAATATGTTAAAACGAATAATTAACCCGGTCATAACAGCTTCAGGATAAACCTGCATCGTACACCAGAATGTCTAAGGCAGTGGGTTTTCAAACTCTCATACTGCCAAAATATTGGCTAGCCGTAAGATTTTGGTAGAGAGAAGACGAGAAGCAAAAGAAGCTCGTTACTGTAGCTGTGATTTTTCAATGTTGCCAATCTTCAAACAGACTAGTTTTAGAGCAGTTTTCACTGACATTGTGATTTGCAACAAACCCGTATCGTCTGGCCTTCAGTCTAGTACTATTGCTTCGATAGTCGTCTTGAACGAAAGATTAACACTGTTTGGTTAAGATACGATTGAAATGAGATGCCCAAACAATAGGTCTACTGTAGAAAGAAATTTGCAAGGGTACTATAGGGATTGAAATCAGAAATCCTTCATTTTCATGAAAAGAAGTTCTAGGACGAGGCAGAAGAATGGCTTGAACAGTTAAGAGACAAATACCTCTCTAGTCACCATGCTTCTGATTCTCACACAAAGTCAAAGGATGCGGGATCAACCACTCTGCATAATACTAAACAAGCATGGTAACTAGAAGAAAAAAAAGGAATGAGAACTTCTTTAAACCTCGGACCTCGGAGAGTTTCAAGTAAAAAATTGTTAGAAAAACTCGTCCAAATTTTCTGCTCTAAAGATATCAGCTGGCTGATGACAGGTAAATGAATTATGCTACTGTCAAGGAAAGGAAAAAACCCAGGTTCAAAAGCGTTCTACACTTTATAATTTACAAGAGGCCTACCGTGAATTTAAGGAAGCTGAACCAGATTTGAAATTGGCTTCTCAAAGTTATCGTCGCTAAGCCCTAAGCACTTGGTGTTCAATGGTGTTTCCAAAATTCGTGCAAATTGCGTGTGCTTAACCCCTCAAAATTCTAAAATAGTGGTCGAAGTAGTACATTCAAGCTAATTGCAAAGATGTCCTGAACTTTACAACTTGCTAACCAGCGAGAGGGCGATGTCACTTAAAATTTTATTATTTTTGTCCTGAAGTGTCGTATATTGCTAAGTTGCTGGAAAATACCGTCAAGAAAGGCACTAATGTGAAGATAGCTGTAGCTTCACTGATGAATTTGATATAATAGCAAAATTTCTGCGGCATTTATTCATGGCTTGTTAGCAAAATGGTTTTTAATGGACAGGAAAAGCGAACTGCGGTATGGTGAGGGTTTTCAACTTGCAGAGTCGTAGAAAGTTATTCGATGATTTCTCAAGATGCAGTTCAAGCATTTCATTGAACACTTATATAGACAAAAATCCACTTACCTGCAATATCTGAAAGGTTTCCAGCCAAATTCTATTCACTTTTACAGTTTGATAATTATTTCTGACTGTCTCAATCGCGATGCTGTGATAATACGTGCATTTTTCGCCACCTACAGTAATTCTGACAGCAGAAATGCAAAAAAAAAAAAAAAAAAAAAAAAA